GAAACGACGCCACGAGCGCGACGCGGTCGAGGCCATCGTCCGCACTCCTCGCTTGAACGCTCGAGGTTGTCGCTGTCAGCGTTTGTTTCGGCGCGTCGAGTATATATCTTGCAGCGTGTAGACTACCAACGTAAACGCAATGGACTTTCTACCACTACGGCGCCGGTGGCTGCGACCAGCGCTGCATCGACGCCAGCAACCACGGCCCAATACGAATGCGACAGCTCTACGAACCTCTTGTGGCATGTGCGCACCTACGCCTAGGAACTAATGCAGGCGCTCGATCGCTGCGGCGCTGCTCAACACGATACTGATACCACCAATCGAGCTTGGTGATCATCAATCCTCGACGACGCAGACCCAAGCTCGCATGCTACATGAGGACCACCGACCCTCATCAATGGCAACCACTTACCTGTGGAGCCAATGTTCTGTACTGCAGGGATGCGTGGAAAGAAGGACCTCGGTCACACGAGTTTCACCGTCAGTCGACAGGACACACGCTTGCGACGACCCTGCCGTGCGACGCGGTGCCGTGCGGCCGAGGCCCTGCAGCGCAAATTGCGGAATGAGCATCGCTCAAGGCTGCTATCCTTCTTTGGTAAAAGCTCTGCGTTTCGCCTTTGTCGTGCTCGCTCTTACACGTGTGTTTTACACGACTGAACGCACCCAAATGGGATATTCTCCGAGTGCCACGTCATAGGAATCGACACTTGTGTTTTCTATCACTGTACTAACTATGGGCGATTCCATTTCAAACGTGATGTTGTCGGCAAGCGGCGTCGGCGTCTTGGCGTGATGCCGCTAAGATGGCACTACGATCTTAGTTTGGAGTGCGTTGTGCCTCTCAGATGGCACTACGATCCAAGTCGTGCCTCTCAGCAGCACTACGATCTTAGTTTGGCGCGCATCTTGGATCGCGTCTCGCGATCGCTGTACGCCTCGTACGTCGATGCGACCTCGCTTTCCGTGCCCTCCATAGCGTCCTCTACTACTGTGCCAAGTCTTGGCCATTTCGTTTTCGAACGCAAAGCGGTCGACCGCGCGGCCTGGTGATGCTGCACCGGATATCCAGATAAGGTGGCTAATAACACGCAAGTTGTCGCGGTGCGTTCGCGATTGCGATTTGATGGCCAACGTCGGTCAAAATAAAAATGTCTCCTACGTTGTAGAGGGATTAAATTGGTTTTGTATAGCACGGGGCACCAAGTTGCACCGTCGTGCGCGGCCTACAGCGCTCGAAACTCGCGTCCAAAGTGATGCACTATTGGCGGCATCATGACGAGCTTGTACTAGTACTTCCAAGTGTTGGCGCGGCACTGCTTAGCGTTCGGCACAAGGTACCATACATATTTGACATTTCTCGCGTCTCACAGAATGACTAGGTTCATGACTCGGACGAGGTGTCTCGTCTGCCGCTGTAGATGGATCTCCTCCACCACGTCGTGCA